TTTTGTTCATTTAGTCAATTTTTCAAGTCTAAGCCAAAAAAAAAAAGAATTTTGATTTATGTGTCATTTAAAAAAAAAAAAAAAACTACATTTTGAAGTGATCCTAGTTTACCTTATTTTATTGCACTCCCGGCATCTGATATGCTTTTAATTAAACATTGTTTAAAAAATTATAACACAATTTAACTCATTAAAAGTTTGTAAAAAAAGGTTGTCGTTTTGATATTTTTTATCATTTTAGGCAAATTTTTCATATTTCTTGACTTCAAAATAAGATTATTTGCTTATGTAATATACATTTAAAAATATATGTTAAGTGATGAAAGCTATTCTCTGAACTGACTGAAAAATGTCCAAAAATGCCTGTAATTTGTTGATATACATAAAGATTTTAACTAGAATTAGTATCGAACATTTTCTGCAATTTATTTCTTAGTAAAATTAGATGAAGTTCAATTATAATTATAAAATAGTTTTGTTGCACTCCTGACTGCAGTAAAATTTAAGATAAAAACCATAGAACACAAAAATTCGCAAATTTACGGCAACATCAGTTGTAACGAATTTGTGAAATACCTATAGTCCCAATATGTCATGGTTCAAATGTATAAAACTGTATTAACTTGGCTTTATTTCTTGAATGCAAAATTATTTATTTCTTCAATGTCAAAAAACTAGCTATAATATGTTAAGAAGAAATAAAAGCAACTAAAAGTATATTTTATAGGACATTTTTCTTCATGTGACAAACACTGTTAGCAACTGAGGTCAAAGAGAAACTTTCTACTCCTCAATTTTTTCTTTATATTTATTCATATTTGATCATCAATAATTTTGAACATTTTTCTTGCACTCCTGAGCATGTGAGTCTTTAAAGCAAAATTGTGAAGCATAAATTACACTTATAAGTACGCGTGTTCTGTTGTTTTAGAGAAGATGAGATGGAATTATTTGAATTTTATAACAATTTTTCAGCGTGATTTTTTTAATTTCAGGGAAAAAAATGAAAAGAAAATTAAAAAAAAAAAATACACATCTGAATTGATAAAATTGAAAAAGAGACATGAATGAATAGAGGTCATTTCATCATTGAACTTGGATCTTAAAAAAAAATTTGTTGCACTCCTGACCATAGAAATATGGATTTGAAACATAGACGAATCCTGTAATTGATATATTTATTTGGTAAAAATATTCTTTTTGTCTTATTTTCCAAAATAGAAAGCAAATAATCATATACTGATAAAAGTTTTTTCCGTGCTGGGAGCAAAAAAAAAAAAATAATAATAATCAAATGTTGCACTCCTGACATAAATGGGTATGCCAAGATGCTTTACTCTCATAAATGCTACTTGTGATTCAGATAACCTTTTTAACTTTTAAAAGATATATCAGTTATTGTTTAATACCTTGAAAATTCTTTTTTGACTTAATTGTCATACACATTTTTAAAATCAATGATTTTTTTGGCAACATTACAATTTTTCTGTTGCACTCCTGACATGGAATAACATTTTTTCAGCATCAGCCATGATCATACCTTGGACGAATAAAAGGTATCATAGTCTAAATTTAAAGCTCAATACATTGAATTTTATCAGATAAGTCTTTATTTCCAACATAAACCATTATTATTTATTTCACAGATCTTTGAAAAATATTAAATTTTCAAAATGTCACAAAAAGATGTTGCATTCCTGACATTTTAAGCATCATTTTGGGGCATAACTTTTTTGTGACTTGAGATATCAGTGAGATATTTGGCAGGAATTTAGACAATATCAAAAAATATATGATGAGTCAAAGAAATTTACTCACATTGCCTGTATTTTTAGAGCAGATTGATAAATATTTGTCTGGTGATTTTTTTCATTCACCCAAATCTGACTTTAAACGACGTTGTTGAAATCCCTGTAATTTCAACTTATCTGTCAGAAGCCTGTCTCAGCCGATCGTACTCAGAGCATGCTCTTGAGTATTTAACCTACTGTGAGCATTAAACACCATATGCAGGTGATAGCGGAATATTACTACATCAGTAAGGAGCGTTGATGATGGAAAAGTTGCAGTCATCTTGTGTGTGTTGTCATACAATTAAATATAAGTTGTTAGTTGGTTCTTATCCTATCAGTTAAACATCCAAATATGAAACATATGTGGCAGACTCTATGGTATCTTTTCACTGAGTTCTGAGATCACTGGGATATATTGAGTCGACATATAAAAGGAAGTTACTATTATTAATTGATAATACGTCGTCGATATAACGAAATGTCGAGTTGAAGGCCACAGGAAGTGTTCTCTTCTTCTCGTATAGAAGTTTTTGAATGAATTCATCTTCATTTGAATATAAAAACAGGTCGGCTAATAAAGGAGTACAATTAGTGTCCATCGTAATTCCAACAGTTTATTGGAAGACTTGGTCTCCGAAAACTACACGTATGTTGTCGGTGAGAAATTCCTGCATCTACTGGGGACAAACTTGAAATTTAAATTGAATTTAAACTTCAAGAGGCAATGCTATTGAAGGTCTAAAAGAACTTGGAAATGAATAGTACCAAGAAAATGCACGAAATAAAATTGTTGTGTCGGTGGTACCTACAGTAAAAATTTGAAAGTTTCTAGATTTTCTTACTTCAAATTTATTATTGCAAAAAATCTTCCCTGTGTAATGCATAAAATAAGCACCATTTTTATTTTCAAATATGAACTGGTACCTGTATTTCAACTTCAGACAGCATGGAGATTTGAACATTTAGAATGTTGCAAATGAACTTTTGAAGTGTTATTCTGATAAATTTCTTTCAATGTGTTTTAAATTTCGTAATCTTTTTTTTTTTTTTAATCTAATTAAAAACATTTAAAATGTTAAAAACATATACCTTCATATACTCTAAAAATATGTTGGATCCATTTATGTATAACATTCTTATGTTGGCAAATTAATATGTATAAATTTATTGTTATTGAAATACATGTATATGTAATGCTAATATCAGTATATCAAAATGCATATGCTAATTTTGACTGGGAAAGGTGGGCAATGTTTAAGTAGGTAGATGATTCACTATTTCCAGTTTCTCGGTTTTAAACGATAAAAAAGATCAATACATTGTTTGGTGTTTAAATTGTTTTATTTACAACTGGATGTTTTTTACGGAACTATTTGTAGTTACTCAGATGAAAAACCCAATTAAGTGTATCAGTAGCTACAAAGTAAAAAATATTGTTCTTTCTATAGTGTCTGATGTATTTCTATTTTAAGAAAATTGGATCATTTGATATGACATACAGAGTAAATATTGGTCGTTTTTTATTTCACACACAACACATCGAAACTAATGATTTTGTATGTTGACGCATATCTATTTTGTGTTAAAAGAGTTGTATTTCTTAACAAAAAAAGGGAATCTGTCTGCAAAATACTTTCAAATTTAGCTTCATATTGTAAATTGTCATGGACGTATCAATACGATTTATACTTGTTTGATGTCGTTAATAAAATTAACAGATTATATATCCCTCAGGTTGTTTCATTATTGTTCACTAGTTAATCATTTATGTTCATCATCATTGTTTACTTCAATGCTTATACATTTTAATGTTCATTCTTTCGTCTTTTGGAATTCCAATATGTACATATATTTACTAAATTAACAATTTTTATTAGGGATGTCAACGAATATTCGAACATTCGAATATTCATTCGATGAATTGATATTCGAATATATATTTAAGATTCGAATATTCGGTGTTTTACAGATTTCATAAAAAGAAGTACTTTGATTAATAAATTTTGATTAAATGAAAACCTTCTTGGAATGTCTAAAAGAGGTGAAGAGTATACTTATCAACTTATTAACACCCCCCCCCCATCCCTTTAATAAAAAATAAATTTACTGGCCTAATTGAAAGTATTTTAATTTGTTTATTTTTAGAATTATTTTTATATCCTCATATTAGGGGGGGGGGAGAATCCTGAAAGTGATTTTTTTTTCTTATTGCACTCATGCTGGGATCATATGCATCAGGGGTTGATCTAGCGGCGGTGGGGCGGATCCTCTGGAATTTTTAAAGTCATTAAAATAACGAAAAAATTCACCTTGGACCCCTCCTCTTCACGAAACGCCAAAATCTCTTAAAAAGGTGAGGAGAGTATTGTATTTGAAGAACGTGTCCCCTCCACACACACACACACACACATACACACACAGACACGAATTAGCTTATACAGGTTTGGGCAAGTTGTTCACGTTTTTTTTTCTTGCTTGTTAAAAAATTTCCGAGTCTGACGTGAACAACCCGTAGAAAAAAAAAATCCTGAATCCGCCCTGTGCAGTCATAGCATAATAAATTTGACTGAATTCAAAATATTCCCAGTATTATTTGCAAATTGTATTTGAAATATAAACCTGAACTTGACAAATCAAATGAAAATCTATGTAGGAAATACAGAAAATGCACTGAACGTAAAGTTATATATTTTTCTCTTAGAGCGTTGAAAGCACAACTCAGATATTTCAAGGGCGTGGTAGAAATCTTTAAGCAAAACAATTAGTCACTTGTATCGAAAAAAAAAATCACGAATCTCAGGGGATAAGAATACCAGTGGAAACAGTCTGGAGGAGGGGAGGGGGGGGGGTGAAAGCAGTCTCACTACATTCCAATGTATGATTTATGGAAAGTCAGATCTGTGTCTGCACATGAAATATAGCAAGTTGCACGCATCGCACAGAGTTCATAATGTTTAGGTACGTGGCGACACTGTCTTGTCATACATCTTGGTATAAATATAATATAATATATAAATCATAAAAATAGATTTTAAATTATCTTTCTTAAATATATACATTAAAAAACATTACTGTTGTGATAATATGAACAGACTTCTATTTTTATCTTTAGACTTTCGTTTTTTTAATCCATTACGTTAGTTATAAATTTAGCCTGGATAGATTAAATGCTATTTTCAGCTGCTGGTTAAGCGGACGGAATGCAAGGATATAAACATGGATTTGACTGGGTCTCGCTTTACGTTAGTGATAACTATTGAAATATTGACTTTATTTGTGTATCTCTTCTGCATCCTAATCAACATGTAAGTATCAACTTATTTACAGTCACGTGTCAAAATCTTAATGGCACTTCAGTCTCTATTTGATTTTCAATTTTATCTTGTCCCTCTAGATTGAGCGGATCAAAGTTTTCTCAGAGAGACACGATTTTTACGGTTGTGGTGTTTGGTACTTGTTGCACTATTCTTGGAATAACCATACTCTTTGCCTACAGATCACAGAACGGGTCTTTACAGGTAAATACATAGTATTTTTTAAGTATTTATAAATAAAGTGCGGAATGTCCGATATTATAACGTAAGTATTTAAAAAAAAATCAATACTATGTAAAATTAACATCTCTTTAACAAATTCAACGATTTATACTTTAAAGGCCGTAAACTTAACGTTTAAATACTAAGTTCATAATTTGTCCCTACTAAATCAAGGACGTTTCCTTGTATCAAATTCGTTGTATGCGTGTTTTTATATATATATATATATATATATATATATATATATATATATATATATATATATATATATATATATATATATATATATATATATATCTTATCTATAAAAGCATTTCAAAGCAGTTGTGATTTTAATACTAAATTTGTTATTGTATACTTCTATGCATGGCATATTTCTAAAACATCATCAGTTTACATAGATAGACTAAGTGTCTGCGTTAGTCCGGATAAGGATGTTGTGTGGGAGGAGATAATTGAGACCTTTTATACCCGATACCTGGGGCATAATTCACCGAGTAGTTTCACGGACAAGGATTGTCCTGTTGTTTTCCTATGGAATATTGATTTGGTCCAATCTTAACAATTTACAATAGCTGTAAAAACTATTCCAGCTCGAAGATAATCTCATGTCAGTCTGGAAATTCTAGAAACTGTAGCAGAACATTTCATTAATGAGAGGTCCTTGAATTTTTTTTACAATGGGAAAAAACAGATACTGTAATTGAAGAGACGCTAAAACTTTTCTCAAGAAAAAAAAATGATCATGTCGTTTTATAACAGTTGTATAATATGAGTAATGATGTTAGAATGACGTCTAATTTTAGAATCTTTCGATGAAAAATTACAGCATTAAACTATTAGACAGTGCAAAGTTAACTCCTCGGTCTTTACAAATCCTATAGGTAAAACTTGGTGCAAAAGACATTTTTACAATTACGAAATGCATATTTACTTAAGTAATGCGTGACAACTGACTTTATTTAAATTGGTAAGACAAAAACAAATTTTCATTCTGCTTTTATTATGATCTACATGTATTACCTTACCTTGTCGAGATCAAAATTTAACTTCTTTCTTCTTCAGGCTACAAACAGAAAGTTGTATCACAAATTACCACCTGGCCAAAGACTGCATGGTAATTTATCTTTTTTATTTTAAAAAGCAATACGTGAATATGTTCTTCGAGAATCACATTTCATTTCCTGTTTGTCTTTCAAAGCATTTAGTTTATGGCACTTTTTGTATGGCAATGGTATAATATTGAAGGTTTTATTTAAAAAAAAAAATGGGTCGACGGAAGGAATAAATATAAAATCGTTGCTGTAGCATAGCGTATGTTGATTGTTCAAAAAAGGCAGAAAAGATTCCATATATTCAAAGAGTATATCTGCTGAAAAACTTTATAAGGCAAAACCTTCTAATTGAAAATTTTGCCGAAAAGCTGCCATTTATTGAATAACAAAAGAAGAGAAAAACCTTAATTTTTTGTAATAAAATTTGAAGATAAAGAACAGTAATCCAGCTCAGAAGTACATTGAAACAATACAAATTAATACTAAAAACATCAGAGGTTGGATCAGATGACATGAAGGAGTAAGCATCCCCTGTGATCGGTAACACCCGCCGTGTGCTCCTTGTCATGATCTGGCAAATGAAAAAAAAAATCCGTAGACAATTTAGTGTGAAAATAATGGCCGAACAATTTGTATGAAAAACGTCAGTCAACATTCGATTTAACAACAGATTGTATTTGCTGACAAGGTCATTGTATCGATCAAAGAATTTGCATAATGTTGACTTTCAACGAGACATTTAATATCCTTGTACCATCAACTTATTTGTCAATAGCTTGTCTCGATTAAGAAACTGTTTGTACGTAGAGTATATTCTTGCGTATCAATTCAACTTGGAGACATAAACTCCATGTACCGGTGATAATGGTATATAGCTACATAAATAAGGGACGTTGAAGTCATCACGTTTATCATCAAGTTTTGTTGTTAGATTACAATTAACGTCTTTTTCCAGTAAAATATCCAAATATGAAACAGATATGTTAGAACTTGTGTTACAAGTTCGATTCAAGAGAAACATTTTTTTTTTATTTTGTTACATTTCATTTTAAGGTCAGACGATACGTTCCTCAAATATCTGTTTTGTATATCTTCGTATTGTGTAGAAAATATCCAAAATTTTAATTACCTTCTGATTTCTAAATGGGTTTATAATTGTCTTTCAAAAATTGAAACACTAAAAAATGTGTTACAGGCTAATTAAGTTTTTTCCAAACGGCTTATATAGGAAACATCATCCTCTGGTAATTTCCACAAATGCCTGGTAAGGTACCTCAATTTTTTGGTGAGTAAACATGTTAAAGTAGCAATACTTCAAAGACAAAATCTTAGAAAAAACTATATATTATTGAGGAACGTATCGTCTGCCCTTAAATCATGACGAGATACATGTATATTTGAACATTTACATTTTGAACAAAAGTCCAATGTAATACATGTAATCATTAAAAAATCATGGCATTTTTAAATGGTTATTATGTTAGACTTTTGTCACTATGCATGTTTTCAAATTTTTATAGCTTTTTAAATAAAAAATTGGAATGTAAGTTTTAAAATCGCCTATAGTTGCATGTCCCAAAACTATGCGTCGAGGTTGTATTTAATGAACTACTAAAGTATATTATTTCAGTTTGGAATTTTTTCCTCCATACTGACAAATAATAATTTGCTCTAGTATGGGAGATCCCTGGTATGCATTTTTGTCTTCCTATTCGCGTTTTTTAATCTCCACCGCGACTTTTGAATGGCAAAAGATGTCGAGACCTTATATTTGTTCAGTGCTAAGAATGGCTTCATACATCGCAGCATGTTTAGGTCAACAGAAGAGGTCAAAAGTAAAATAGGAATTATCACTTCAGGTTTTGCGTTACATTTACACTATATCCTATTTTCTCTTTATCAAGTTCTGTGCATCTTCCTCCTTTCCAGCTACATTAATGTTTTAGATATAACGATTCGGATAATCATAAACTGTTGATTGTTCTCCCTCAGCGTCCGACTGTGCAGTTTGTTTATCACCAAAAGAACCAACATCTTCGTCCCTAGTGCAACTCAGCTGTAAACATGGTAATTTAGAAATATTAAACTTATACAAATGCATATCATGATTTTTTTTCTGGAAATAAGGTAATTTTACAAGCAAACATGACAACACTTACTCTGTCGTCTTGTTTTATTGATATCTTTTAATTTATGCCCAAAAAATGAACAAGATTTCTTCTACACCGCCATTTCAGATTATCATGAGAAGTGCATCGAGGAATGTTTTAAGAAAACAGGAGATAGTCGCTGTCCTAAATGTAGAAGTATCCTCCAGGATGTTTCCTCCCTGAGGTCAAACAGATCTAGATACCTAGCTGTTCTCCCACTACTCTTGGAAATTCGTGACAAAAGGGGTATATTTAATGCCGTCCTCCATATAATGATAGACCTATTATCATGTTGTAAATGTTATCAGGTTGTAAATTTTGTATTTACCTCCCCCTAGTAAATTCAAAATTGACAACATGATACTATAACAAAAGGTTGTGTGATTGTCTGCGCGTGTATCAGGTATAGACATGAAAACTAAATTCAAAACTTTGGATTCTATTATGGCAGTGTAATGTCTCTTTCTACTAAATATAATAGTATAATATAAAGATGCTTCTTTAGTGATAAATATTGATGCTAAATACATGTGGACAAAATATACTAAAGGGTGGTGGGTTTCTCAATTTTCAATTTTTCGCATTTTTATTTTATTTTATTTTTTATTCATTTAAAAGTTCTTTTTTTCCTTTGGAAATTCAAAGAGAATATTTTTTGCACTGATTCTCATTCTTCTTGATGTGGAAAAAATCAGATCTGCAAGCTTGCACTTTGCATTTTCTGAAGCAAAGAGTATCTAAAATTTGATTAAAATTCAGTAAAAATGAGTAATTTGGGGGGAAAAAATTCAAACCATGCATACATGTGTATATCTTTTGATTTTTTTAAATATATGTTTTATCGAAAATAATATCAGTTTCGATGTGAGCATCTTAAAAGATCGTTCATAAGTATAAACCTTTTTGATTCTTTTTAAAATTTAGCTTGGATTTCACACAATTTAAAGGTGCAAAAGAAAAACTTAAATATGTGCTTTATATCGAATTTGAAAGAATTTTTCATATATATATATATATATATATATATATATATATATATATATATATATATATATATATATATATATATATATATATATATATATATATATATATTTATTTATTTATATATATATATATATATATATATATATATATATATATATATATATATATATATATATATATCATAACAGGATTTTGGCCATCATATGTGAAATATAAAATATAATTCTGTGATAAATAAAAACAAAATCCTGGTTCCTGTGATGAAGAAGAGTGGAAAAGGTTACTTCTACAAGTTTTTTTTTTAATTTAATTTGAAGTTTTATTTGGTTGGTTTAGTCATGTTTACACATGTATACTAGTAATGATAAAAAAGCATTTTTTAAAATCTTTTTTTTTAACATTTTATCTCTTTTAAATTTTATTTTTCAGATATGTCTTGGAAAGAATCATTTGTATAGCATAGAGACTAGCTGTTTTTAAATAAAATAATCACACCATTAGAGAAACGACGAGATAGCTGGCTACAGCTTGAATATAGCCAAGTGCCAAGCCTAGATTTGAGTGGTTGTAATGTATACTTGGCTTTGGTTGTGTTGTCTTCACAAACTCTGTAGACTATATGTACATGTATCTTGGACGAAGTGTGGCAGCTTTATTTTGTCATGTTATACAGATGCTCGTAACAACGTGGGACAGAGTGTTACAATGTATTAACTTTCATATATTATTTGCATAGTTGCAGTAATGCGCTTTATTTATTTATTATTTTGTTTTTAATTTAATTTTTTTTTTTGCCCCAAAAGAGGCGTGACTTTTGGTTGTGTTTATGTTATCAGCTGGAAAAAAAACTTTTTTTCTTTTTTAAAAATATTCCTAGTTTTTGCTATAAGTGAATGAAGACAGACCTTTTGTTCTTTAATTTTGTATATCGCTAGGCAATTAATCTGAAGTAAATAACAGTTTTCCATATTTTGACAGAATTTTTCCCATATTTCGATGAGAGAAATATCCCTGATGAATCAGATTCAAACTAACATCAATTTAAAAAAAAAGGCCAGTACTTAAATTTTTGAATTGACAGTGAAGTTATATAATTGCAGTGAACAAGCAATTCCATGGATATGAAGTAAGCTTAGCACACTTGACATTCAATGAATCAATTGTTGCTGCATTAAATACTTACAAGATTGTAAGATAAGCGAATAAGGAAAGGGTTTCTTCATCTCTAAACAAGATAGCTGACAATCAGGATGTGGAATTCAGCAACATTTGATTTAGTAGCCGTAACCTTTACTATAGTCTTACTTTCATCCTTGTGTGTGTGTGTGAGGGTGTGTGTGTGTGTGTCAATTTTCTTCTGAATAAAAATAAATATTAACTGAAAACCAATTTATTGCAATAGTGATCTTTGATCCATGACTCTGAAAATGAATATCAATCTAATTCATCCGTTTAAACATAAAATGTTTGGAATTTATCTTCTCAGTATTTATACAATTTCATTCCGCCCTATGAGCAAGTACTTGTACCTTTTCAACGTAGAAGATTTTGAATGTTTACAATGTCAGTTCAGAAAACTCTAAATTAATGGCTAGAAAGTTTGGGTTTTTTTTTTCCTCAGTCATAATACAGGCATCCCTTAAATACCCATTTGTAACTCACGCCAAAATCAAAAAATAAAAAAAAAAACGATACTGCATGTACGATACCACGTCTATTGAGAATGTAATTCGACGCAGAAAGTTCATAAAGGAAAAAAAACATAATTTTCACATACTGCTACCCTAAAACATTTGGAACCGTACGTAGTTCACTTGGCTTTGCCAAGTCAATTAACTAATTGTGTGCGAATAGTGGAAATTGATACATACAATATGCCTCCACTATTTAAAGTTTCAGATTCATTTCTACATTGCTATGAGCCATATATTACAGGACATATCATAATTTTGAAATTGAAGAACTTGATTTGTGAAACGTACAAAATTGTTTACGAAGCATGTATTTTTGCAATTTTTACTATGTGATTAAAGTTAAAAATAAAATTAATGTTTGTTAAAAAATGACAATCCCAAGAATTTTTTCATTAATTTTGACAGGTACATCGAGATTTCTTACACGAGCATGTTTTTTGTAAACAAATATATTTCGAGAGGTTCAAATTCGTGGGATACCGAATTTTTACTGGTTCGTGGGAACATACATTGCCGGATCAAGAAAATTCTCTACGAGGCCCCTAACTTTACTCCTTATAAAAATATTAACTAATGTAAAGAATTTTTTTAGATGTTATGTGCTACAGCATATTCTAAAAGTAGTGTAAATCAGATGTGGATTCTCAAAAAACTCCAAAGAACTTTCAGAAAATTTAACATCACCATTTTTTTTTTTTCAAAAATTAATAACGACAAAACGTACGACTTTTCTTCACTTTATACAACCATTCCTCACGATGAATTAAAAACTGGGCTTTTGATATCAACTGCTTCTTTAATAAAAAAAGGAACTTGGAAATTTTCATATCTTAAGACTGTCATCAACAAAAAAATCACCCTCATTCTATACACAGGTACTCTGAGGTTGATATAATAAGGATGCTCGATCCTCAATGACAACATTTATGTAGTTTTCGGAAACCGGGTCTTCCATCGATGAGTATTAATTGTGCTCCTTTATTGACCGACCTGTTTTTATATTCATATGAAGCAGAATTTATTCAAAAACTTCTACATTCAGATATATCGACGACGTATTATCGATTAACAATAGCTACTTCCTTTCATATATCGGTATGCCAGTGAACTTGAAATAAAAGACACCACAGAGTCTGCCATATCTGTTTCATATATTTGGATGTTTTACTACCATAGACTATAACTAATAACTAAATTGTGACTTTTGCTTTACCATCGTCAACTTTCCTTATCTATGTAGTAATACTAGTATTCCGCTATATCACCTGCATGTGTGGTGTTTACGACTTGTATTCGATACTCAAGAGCATGCACAGATCGAGTACAATCAATTTTTTTTTGTTTAACGTCCCTCTCGAGAATTTTTCACTCATATGGAGACGCCACCACTTGTTGGTGGAGAGCTGCAAATTTTGACCTATACTCGGCACTTAAGGCCATTGAGCAGTAAGGGATCTTTTTTGTGCCAGCATCTACTGCGACACTGAACCTCGGTTTATACGGTCTTATCCGAAGGACCGGTCTCCACGTCCCACAGTAGGATTCAATCAATTTCTAAACTGCGGCAGGCCACTGACAGATAAGTAGATGTTACATGGATTTCAACCAAAGTTAGCATTTAGTAAATTCTATAGTCATTATAATGATCTTGTTAGTAAATATAACCTATCATTGGGTCGTATTTTGGCTGACATGTTTCTTATTGTTAGGCCTTTGTTTTTATACTTTTGACTACGAAATTTGATCACGGCGGGTGAGACTGCGGTCAGCATGGGATGCTTACTCCTCCTATACACCTGATACTACCTCTGGAATTTCCGGGGATCTTTTTTTATGCCCTGTTCACAGATTTGCATTGTTTCTAGGTTTTTTTTTGTTCGATCACTGTTTGTTATAATTAGCTTCACCTTTTTCATACGGAAGTTTTCAATGAACCGATACGCTGACAAAGACCGTTCTTGGGGATGTAAATTTGTGGGTAAGATTGATCCATGAACATTTGTCCCCCACGAACAACGATGATTCCACAGTATCTATTGTCGAATTTCTAAAACGAGGTAAGTTATTGAAAAACAAGTTAATGAAACAAGAATATCAACAGTCTCGTTTAAAGTCATCATTTCGTTAGTTCTATGATCGATACAATGACCTTGTCAGCAAATACAATCTATCATTAAGTCATATGCTGACTGACGTTTTTCATACTAATTGTTAGCCCATTATTTACACACTGAATTGACGACGGATTTTCCCGTAATTTCCGGTCATGACAAGGAGCGCACGGGGGTGTGACCGGTTGGCAGGGGATGCTCACTCCTCCATGGCACCTGATCCCACCTCTGATGTTTTTGGAGGTCCGTGTTTTCTAGATCTCTGCTCCCGATTTGTATTGTTTTAATGGATTTTGAGCTTGAATACTATTCGTTATCTCCATATTTTATTTTCATACATTGTTTGATGATATATTCCTGACTACAAATAGATGAAAGTTGCTGAGGGAAAACTGTTTACAATTCTATTTATATTACCCAATTTATATCTGTAGACGTCGCCCGCGTGGTTAGAGCGTTCGATCTAGAGTCGCGGTGTAAGGAGTTCATCCTTACGTCGCGGATTCGAATCCCACTATGGGACATCGAGACCATTCTTCGGATGAGACCGTATAAATCGAGGTCCCGTGTCGCAGTAAGTACTGGCACGAAAAAGATCCCTCAATGCTCAATGGCCCTGAGTGCCGAGGATAGATCTAAATTTGCAGCCCTCCACCTGCAAATGGTGACGTCTCGATATGAGTGAAAAATTCTCGAAAAGGACAAACAAACAAAATCTGTAGATCGTGTTCTGTTCTCAACATAAAGTCTCGATTTGAAGATGGTGTATTTTGTGTCTAGTACATTGAATAAAATACCAATCGAAAATCGCTGAAGATAGCATTTTTTTTAAATGTTGTTTTTCTGAGTACATAAAAATGTATAACTAGTATATATATATATATACTGAAACGCAAAAGAAACGCAACAAGCAGTGATCTACAAATATTTGAACCTTTTAACTAATGATTTTCAAAACTGATTACAGTTAAGTTAAACTCGATTTAAAAGCATCAAAGATTTGATAACAATGTTAAATGATTACCTTTTAACTTTAGAAAGTAACACATGACTGTTAAAACACCCCCCTTCTCAGCCATTCAATTATAGCGTGGAAGACTGCCATGCACAACAATTGCAGCTTGATTTCCACGATGCAATAAGTTCACCAGTCTCGGGATCTGAGCGAAAAAAATATTCTTTGCCATTTTTAAATGTCCGTTTTTCAGACAATGAAGTCGAATTTTCTCTAACCTAGCGCAGTGTAGTAACACTTGGACTTCCGGTCCACGGACTATCATCCATGCTAATGATACGTATGAGCCTGTTGAGGCGTGTTGTCGTGCATTTTTGCATCTGCAATTCTCCATCACCTTTATTTTCAGATTTTCCAGCTAGAGCACTTGAAATGCGTACTTAAGTCATTTTCAGGAAGCCCTGGCATCTCTTCCGGAAACGAAAGGAGAATTTATTTTGCGAAATATTGCTGCATTACTTATGATAAACAGATACAAACCCTTAAAACTCCATATTTTTGTCAAATGTTTTGTTAAACATGCAATTTTTGATTTCTGTTCAGCGGGCTCAAACTTAACTTCCGGTTATGGCATGAAAGTCATTCAACCGTTAAATTATCGATACTTACAATGTTGAAGATATCCGTACTTTTAGATACAACATTATGTCCTTTATATGATTTTCCCCTCTAAAATAGGATGTTGCGTTTCTTTTGCGTTTCAGTATATATATATATATATATATATATATATATATATATATATATATATATATATATATATATATATATATATATATATATATATATTGCTGAGGTCGCCATATATATATATATCCTTAATTCAGCGATTGTCGATTTTTTATTTTAATCAAAAAGACATATTGTTGATTTTCATTTAATCAATTTTAAATAGACAGACATGGAAAATCGAAGAATATACAAAATACACCATCCTAATTATAAACCGATCCCCTATGGTTTTCATAGCGTATGGACTTCGTATGTTGCTAGTGTTGCTGAGGTCGCCAAACTACATTTTAATTTTTTCAGGGTAGATTTGATGTGTTAAGATACAAGTACTATAGAAACCTGGCCCAAAGAATGTTCTTTTATCGCCTAAATCTTCGTCTGTTTACTTTCACATTTAAACTACTTCTGTATCATTGCGCAAACTTCAACCAAACTTGCCACAACGCATCCTTGAGTGATGAGGTTTCAGGTTATTTTTCAAATGAAGGGTCACGTCCCTTTTCAAGTGTAGATAATTAAAAAATTGTGAAAATTGGGTCATATGAAAATCTTATTTATATATACCACTGTGCCAGGAAAGATAAGATTCCCCACTGGGTGTAGCTTCAGCTTTGTCAAATCATAGCCCCGGGACATGAGTGGTTCTAAAATGGGGGGGGGGGGGAGTCAAAAGTTCACATAAATAGACCTTAATTTTCAGAATCTCAAGGATTTCAAGGCCATAAGTGCTGAACTTATATGAAAGTAGTTCAAGTAGTGAAGATTTCACTTTTGTTTCAAATTTTGGTCTTTAGAGCTAGGACGAGGACATAATGGGGGATCAACTTTTTTGTAGTGAAGAAGAACAAGAACAGCAGATTCAGAGTTAGTTATACGTTAAAATATAAATGCATGCATTTCCATATAGTGTAGATTCTGTTCTGTTCAAATGTTGTACCTGGGGCTAGGGTGAGGCCATGCACAGTGCTTGCTTGCTTGCTTATGCCTTTTACTCCAGTGAGGAGCATATGCAACTGATATCACCTTTCTACCTCTTCCTGTCTTCCTTTTTCAGCTGTTACTACTTGTAACCTCCCCTCTCCATCTCTGACACAACACACCTTCTCGATGTGTTCTTTGGCCTCCCCCTGGTTTTCCCTGTGGGTTCCACTGAAGTTTCTGCCGAGTAATGGAAATCCTCGGCTTTCTTAATGTGCGGTCAATCCATCGCCATCTCCTTTTTTGTATTTCTATTTCTAATGGGAATTGGTTTGTTCTATCAGGCCTACCGATGTTCAAAATTTGCCTAAGGAAGCTGTTGTTGAAGACACATAGTTGTTTCATGCGCTCTTTGGTTGTACTCGAGGTTTCTGATCCATAGAGCAATAGGTCTATAGTTTTATTGTTTGAATTACAGTCCTCAGACTAACGCTCTTTGCTTTCCATATATCACTCATCATATAAAGTGCTGTTCTGGCTTTTCCTATTCTGATTTT